ACGGTAGTGCCCTCATCTGCGCTTCCTCATGCAGGGCCCACTAGGCACCGGAAGCACAGCTAGGATGACCGCGGAGGGGAATTTTCAATTCCTTTTGATTCATTGAAAATCTAAGTAGCTGTCTGCGTCTAGCAGGGACGGCACAGGGGAGCACAGCTGCAAGGACCGTGCCCAGCTTTCCAATGAAATCAGTTCCCAAAGCTACTTCAGCAAAGATAGCAAGGCTTCACTAGGCTGGTCTCACTTCCGGGCCTTTGTCCTTGTCACGCTCCTGTCTAGGACACCTCAGCCCCGATTCTCCCATGCCTGGATCAGCTCCCACTTCAGTGTGTGGAGCCCTGAAGTGTCAGGGATCTCCCACCCTTCCTGTTTCTGTGATGTCAAACCAGGTCAGGGACAGCTATAGCGCTGCATTTGAGTGCCCTGCAAGGGCTGACGCGGGCCCAGAGACCTAAGGCTTCAAGAGAGGCACCCACCAGCCCTGGGTCCACAGGAGAACCCCAGGGTGTGGCAGGGACTGAGGGTCAGAAAAGTTGAGGTGCTGAGCCGTCAGGTGACCAATTCCTTGCCTCTTGTCCCTTCCCACCAGACCCTCATTCATGCCTGGACCCCAGGCTAGAAGTCAAGGCGAGCAGTGTGAGCCATCCCACTCCGTACCCCACCCCTCCACCGCCACAGAAGGAGACAGAAAGCTGGGTGCCTCTAGGCAGGTCAGGGAGCCTTGTGAGTGGTCACCTTTATTAAGTCACGGGGGCGCCCGCATGAGCTATGTGCACATTCAGGCCTGGGGCACCACCCCATATAGCTGGTGGGGGAGTAGTCTCTGCTTCTCATTGCAGCTGTAGATCCATCTGGGGCGGACGAAGGCCAGGGAAGGGTTGTCCATCAGGGCCTGCGGGGAGGGGAATGGAGGGGGGGCAAGTATGACTTGGTGAGCCCGAAGGGAAGGGTGGGAGCATGGCAGTGCCCCTCAGAGACTCACCTCCTCAAAGCTGGGGTCCCACTCCTGTGCAGTGATCACAAACTGGACCCGGTCACTCATATAGTCCTCAAGCTCGCTGTCAGCAGAGAAGAAAGAGGCAGAAAGGAGAGGCCTCAGGTGCCCCGTCTCGGCTGCCTAAGGGCACCCTAGCCCCCTACCACCACTGATCCTCACCTTGGCCCTTTCAGAGGGGGGTAGGGACCCCAGCTCCATGGCCTATGCCCTCCAGAGTCTCTCCTTTCCCACCCTCTGTCCAAGCCCCCTGTGCCCCATCCAACCCCACGGGACTCTGACCCATTGAAGGCTGTGACGTATCGCATGAGCTTCCGCCGTTCGTCTCCGGGGAACTCCCCGTACAGGAAGAAGCATTTGCCCTGGAAGAAGTCTGCAGGAGAGGTGTGGGACGGGGTATGAGGCCACCAGGGTTCCACGAACCAGGCCCAGGGTGACCAGACACTTAGGGCCAAGACAGAGAGGCTGGTACAAGGACAGGGGTGTTCACACCCAGGTGGGGCTGCAAGGACGAGTCCAGCCCAGCCCAGGGTTATCAGAGCCCTTCAGGGAGATTTATGTAACCCTAAGACACTGGTTACGAATCGGGCTGTGAACCTTAAGGTCAGCGGTTCGAAACTATCAGCTGCTCCGCGGGAGAAAGATGAGGCTTTCTACTCCCGTAAGGATTTACACCCTCGGAAACCCTGTACAGGGTCGCTATGGGTCGGAACCGACTCGACGGCACTTAACAACAACAACAACAACAAGACACAATACTATAACGTGCGTGTTCCTTCTGTGAGGGAGCTCTCAGACAGGGTGTGAGGGTGGGAACATCGTCCCTTGGGCGTTGGCGCTCCTCCTCAGCCTTTCTAAGCCCTCCATTTGCTGGTGCCACTTGTAGTGGTTGCACTGTGCCCCTCCCTCTCCCTTCCAGAAGCTGTACTGAAATCCTGGCCCCTAGACCTCTAAATATTAGACCCCATTTGGAAGTAGGGTTCTCTTTGTTATGTAACAAGTCCAAACCTAAGAAGGTGGTGGTGGATTCCATTCCAACTCATAGAGCCCCTATTATATAGGGTTTCCGAGGCTGTAAATCTTTACACGAGCAGAAAGCCTCATCTTTCTCCTGCAGAACAGCTCGTAGTTTTGAACTCCTAACCTTGTGGTTAGCAGCCAACCTGGGTTCTAAATCTAACCAGGTCTCAGTTTTACAAAGACCACAATGGACCAGATACACATACAGAGAGAGAGAGAGAGAAAAAAAAAAAGAGAGAGAGACAGAGACAGAGAAAGAGGAAGACAAATTACAGAATAAGTTGCAGCTACTAGAAGCCGAATCAGCCATGGGAGGACCCTCTCCTAGAACCCTGCCCTGGGTGTGGACTTGTAGCCTCCTGAACCATATGAAAATCCATTTCTGTTCTTTAAAGTCACTTCCTTGGAGTAAGAGGGGGCTCCAAAAAAGTGGGTGGAAAAATGCCACAATCTTTTCATTCCATTTTCCCACATACTTTAAGACGCCCCTCGTATGTATGTTACGGCAGCCCTGGGAAATGAAGACACCACTTTTGGGGTTTTGGAGGCTCAGGGCACTGTCTGCCCATCACCCTTCAGGAACCAGGTGGGAAGTGTTAGAGGGCCACTGACCCTCATGTCCGCTGAGACCCTGACTGCCTCTCTCCTTCTCTCTCTGTTCCTAGCCCAGGGTTTCTTATCACTCCCTAACCCACTTCCTATGCTTCTCATTCATTTACCTCAGAAAAGCACACACACACACACCATGTGCACATAATACCCATTCCGGTGTGAGGAGCACTGAGAGAATGAACACCCTTCTGGTCACCACCTAGGCCCAGCACAGACCCACAGGACTGATCTGTGGGTGGTAAGAGGCCCTGAGAAGGTAAAAGCACTGGCCTGAAGGGGGCGCAGTTCACAGCTGGGTGCCTGTAAGGTAAAGGGGCAGGAAGTGGGGAAGTAGGGACAGAGGGCAGGCAGAGGATGCTGACCGGAAGGGGTGGGCAGGGAGAAGGAGAAACTACTCATGGGACAGCAGTGATCCCAGAGCTGGGGGGCAGCAAGTCACAGTTGAGCACAGAGAAGGGCAGATCCCACTTCAGCAGGGAGGGAGGGAAGGAGGGCGCCCCCACCTGGGAGCTCCGGGACTGGCAGGCTGGGAGACTCGGGGGGACCCTCGTTGTCCGTGTTCTCGTCTGTGGAGCCCGCATATGGGTCGTCCCCATTCTCCCCCTGGTCTGGGGGCTGCCTCTGTTCCCTCTGCTCGGCCACCCTGAAGAGCATGAGTGGAAGGTCATCAAGCAGAGCCCTACTCCCAAGGCTGGAGCCCCCCAACCACCAGCCCAACTCTACCTTCTCAGCTCATCCTCCGTGTCCCCAGAATCTTCTGCCCCATTGTCCTGTCCTTCTGCAAGTGGACGCTCAGTCAACAGGAGGCACCCACCTAGTCTTCCTGGGAAATTGGTCTTCATCCCTCCCAGTATCACACAGACAGAGGCACCCCAGCCCCCAATCTCAACTGCTCTCCAGATGCGGCTGCTCTGATCCTGAGCCCCTCCCTCAGATCTAAGAGTCTAGGCCCCCAGCCCCCTCCTCCCTCAGACCCAGGAGTACTGACCCCAGCCCCTCCTCCCTCAGACCCAGCAGTGCAGCCCCCAGCCCCCTTCTCCCTCAGAGCCAGGAGTGTGAGCCCCCACCTCAGTCTCTGACCTGACAGTTCCCCCTCAGTGTCGCTATACTCCTGGGTCCCTGGCGTGGCTGGTTTGGTCTCTTCAGGACTTGGGGACCTCTGGGGTGAGCTGGGTCCAGCTGCCTGAGGGGGCCTGGCCTTGGTCTGGAGGCACGAAGCAGGATGAGTAGGCCAAATAAGTGGATGGGGTCTTGAGTAGGCACGGTGGCATGGGTATGAATGTTGGGAGGTGCACAGGTGGGGGGAGGGAGAAATGGGGTGCCACAGCTGACCCGAGCTGCCACAGTACTACCCCGCCCTGCAGGAGGCCTCAGACCTTGTGAGGAAGCTTGGGGGCGTCATCTCCGCTGCCGCCACTGTGAGGGTCCCCCTCATCCTCGCTGCTTGAGCCTGGCCCCGCCATGAGGTACCTGGGGGGAGTCAGGCCTCAGACCAACAGGCCGGAACATCCTCTGGGAGGTTGGGGAGGGGAGGGTGCTCAATCTCACTCAGGGCTCAGGAAGGGCCCTGCCAACCACGGCCACCCTGCCATAGAGCTTCCTCATACCCTGGGCTGCCCTGTCCTCCTGGGGAAGAAATGCTCCTTTTCAGGAAGGAGAAAACAAAACAAAGAAATCATTTTCCTCCTTGAGGATGAGTTTTTCATGGGGAATGCCTGCCAAAAAAGGGACAAGTCTCGGGGCAAGTGTATTTCCAAAGACCCTGGCGCTGTATTCCGGGTTCCTTCGGCTCTTGCCACTCCAGGAGCGATACCCATCTCGTGCTAATAATGAGGAGCCTGGTGGTGCGTTGGGTTAAGCACTGGGCTGCTAACTGCAAGGCCAGTGGTTCAGACCCACCAGCTGCTCCACAGGAGAAAAGATCTCAGCCTGGGACACCCTAGGGAGCTGTTCTGCCCCTTCCTACAGGGTCACTAAGGGTCGGAGTGACGTCACCAACAGGCGGTGATGGTAATTCTCATGACCCAGTGCTGGGAATGGTTAACACGCTTGGCTGCTAACACAAAGGTTGAAAGTTCAAGTTCCACCCAGAGGTGCCTCAGAAGAAAAGTCTGGTAATCTACTTCCAGAAAATCAGCCACTGACACCCCTACAGGGTACACAGTTCCACTGACACATACGGAGTCACCCCGAGTCAGAAGGGACTCAGGGGCCGTGGGCTGTGTGCCAGGCACTGTTGCAAACTCTTGTCAAATAGTGACTCATTGGATCTAGACAGAGGGGCTGTTTTCAGCCTCTTTACATGTGAGGAAACTAAGGCACAGATAGATCAATCAATTTGCCTCAAGTCACACCGTCAAGGAAGTGGCAGACGCAAATGTACATGCTGGCTTTACCTTCCTGGCACAGCCGGGAGGACCCTTTCTCAAATGATTTGGGTGTCTCAAAGCTGGCGACACACTTTCAGGCAGGCCACACGTGGGCAGTGCAGTCTCACCTCCGAGAGGGCAGCCGCCGGCGCATGCGGTGACAGTCCAGAACCCATTCCTTCCGCACGATCCGGCCGCCGAGGCCCAGGACCTGGCTGTATTTTGGGGTGTTGGCAAAAGCACAGCTGGTGGGAGAATGGAAGAGTGCCAGTCAGGCATCATGCGCGGGGAAAGAGGAAGGAGGGATGGGGAAGACAGGACAGAGAGATGAGGAAGACACACAGCTAGTCATGGGAGAGGCAGGAAGCAAAGGGGGGAAACTGAAGGAGAGGTATGGGAAGCCGAGGGAAAGAGAGAAAGAGGCAGGTGATACAGAGCCAGGTGGACAGTGGTGACAGACAGGGCGATGGGGCGCACGGAAAGAGAAGGGCTCACATGAGGTGGGTGCTGTCTGGGGCCCAGTCTGGCCGATACTTGGCCCCCAGCTCAAGGGCCTTGTCCCGGAGTTCCGAGCGGAAGGGGTTCTGGAAGCCACTCAGCACCACCACCACGCCCTGAAGGATTTTGCTCAGTTCCTGGGGGGTGGTGTGAGGTGCTCTGGCCTCAGAGCCTTCTCCCTGGGGCTTCCTGGGCACAGCCCGACGTGCTGGGGCTGGGGCTGAGGCAGGGGCAGGGGTGCGAGTCAGCACTGGTAAAGGCAAACAACAGGTTCTGTTAGTGGCAGCAATTCTGGGGTGAAGCTGCAGCCCCCTCCTCCTTCAGGACTCAAGATCTCAGATCCCCAAGCCCCCAGTTCCCTCCTCCCACAAGACCCAGGAGCCTCACCCCCCAGCCCCTTTCTCCCTCAGGGATGAGGCATCTGGTTTCCTCACATTTGGGCTTCTTGAGAGTGGGTGGTAAGGGTTGGTCTGATGGTTTGCTGGGGGTCTTTCGTTCTTCTTGGTTCAAATCCAACTTCCTCTTCCTTTTGGGGGACTCCTGAGGCTGAGGGGACAGAGATGGTGGCTTCTCCAGCCTCTCTTCCCTTTCCCACCCCATCAGTGTCTAACGGTCTCACCTTGGAAGTACTGCCCACAGCCCTGGAGGCCAGGGTGGCTGAGGCTGCCGCACTGGAGGCCTGAAGAGTAGCAGCTGCATAGCTGGGTCCTGCCTGGTCACTGGCTGTGGCTAAAGGGACAAGGACGACGAGGAGAGGCCCTGTTTCAGCTCCTCTCCAGGGAACCGACTGATGTCCAGTTCCTCCTCCCTCAGACTCAGAGTCTAGACCCCAGCCCCTCCTCCCTCAGACCCAGGAGTGCAGCCCCCAGCCCTCCTCCCTCAGATCAGTGATTTCCGCCATTCACCTGGGGATGTCTTGTTGACCCGGCTGAAGAAGAGCGCTCCGGGTCTCAGGGAGCTACCACCCTCGTCTTCCTCCTTCACCCGGAACTGGCCCAGCTTGGTCACCTTCTAAGGTCCCGTAAAGTCAGTATAGCAGGTGGGCTGTTGGCCAGTGGGGGTGAAGAGGTGGGAGGAGGACAGGCTTTGGGGGGTGATGGACACAGCTTACCTGGGGTGAGGCCTCTGCCTCGTCCTTGTCTGGGGGGCTGTGGAAGCGAACAAAGCTCAGACCATAGGGGGAGTCCTGGGAAGGAGGGGTGGGCGTCAGGGCTCTCTTCCTAGAGCTTCCTGGAAGCTCCTTCCTGTAGGGAAAGCCCTCTCTGGCTCCTTCCTTTTCAGGGCACCACGTCAGTCATCCCATGACAATGAGGACGAGAGTCCTGCCCAGCTGTCATTGGTACTGACTCTGGGGGAGGCGAGCCCCTAGGCCCAGTACACACATCAGCTCAATGCCCCCACACGTCCACTCCCACAGGCTGACTCCTACCCTCGGGGTGGCCCGGGTACTCCAGGCTCTTTCCCCTCTGCCAGCTGGATGTAGAGTCACAGAAGGAGGGAGGCTGGTCTCTGGATGACCTCATGAGAGAAGCCAGCTGGCCGCTGGTCACCCATCCAGGACAGTTACATGCCCAACAAGTACCACGACCACTGTGCAGTACGCTATACATACTTGGGCTGAGCATCCTGTGTGAGCTTCAGCAACTCTGTAAGCGTCAGGAAACTGAGGCACAGAGAGGTTAAGTCACTTGTCTAAGGTCACACCGCTAAGAAGTGCTGTCACTAAATCTGAACACAGTGGTCTGACTTCAAGGAGCCCTCCCTGTTGGTGCTGTGGGTTAGGCACTGGGCTAACACAAAGTTGGCAGTTCAAACCCACCAGCGGCTCTGTAGAAGAAAGATGACGCCGTCTGTTCCTGTAAAGATTTACAATCTCGGAAATCCCACATAGCATGGCTATGAGTCAGAACCGACTCAATGGCAGTGGGTTAACAAATGATGTTAGTTACCACCAGACCCCCTAATACCAGACCACCTCTCTAACAGCTCAGCCCAGGTCTCCACAGCGGGCGAACAGAACCCCAAGCCCATCTCAGGAGCCATGGAATAGACTTTCCCATAAACCCAAGGGTAACCCAGCTGTCCCACCCACCCCACAGACTTCAGACATGGGCTCCCTCCTCCCCCAAAGCCCAGGCCTCAGTACCTTGCTGTAGGGCTGACTGCAGACGATTTTGACACGGTCCCAGCGCTTCTCAGCTGCCGCCCGCACCAACTTGTCAGGCCCGAAGATGCGAACGCGGTTGGGATTGGAGCCACTGCGGCTCTCGGAAGGGGACATGAAAGAAGAGGTGACGAGAAGGACCTGGAGAAGGACAGACACGACCTGCTAGGGGACAGAAAGCACTGGAATCCAGCTCAAACCTGTCTCCAGCCTAGTTTCTGGGTCTCCAGTCCTTCGCTGATCCAGACCCAGACCCAAGGGATTCCTCTAAGCTCCAGATCCAAACGATCCTTCTCTGTGCCTTTCCAGAGAGTGTTTCACTCGGGCAATATGGCGGGCTAGATGCTCTAAGGAACCTCCCCTCAGAGAACATCAAGTCCCCTTGGAAATGCGTGGCAGGAGCTCAGGGGAATTATGGAAGGCCAAGAATGAGATGAAGGGATCCAGCGAGGCAGAGGAGCAGTTGTGGCAATTTGTCTCTCAGCCCAAACATCCCACCCAATCCACCGCACCTGCTCTGTGCAGTGAGGAGACTCTGCAAACCGCATTTCTGCTTCTCTAGCTGCTCCCCAAGGAGCACTGGTGGCACTGTAGGATAAGCCCTGGACTGCTAACCACAACATCAGCAGTTCAAATCCAACAGAGAACAATAAGGCTGTTAACTTGTACAGCCTTGGAAACTACACCGGGTCACTAAGAACTGAAATTGACTCCACAGCTCTGGGCTCGTCAGCCGACTCTACCAGTAGAGGGAGCCAGAGGGAGGAAGCAGCAGGCTGGAAGAGGGAGAAGGGATTTGCAAACACTAAAAGGAGCTCTGGTAGCGTAGTGGTTACGAATCGGGCTACGAACAGCAAGGTCAGCAGTTTGAAACTACCAGCTGCTCCGCGGGAGAAAGATAAGGCGTTCTGCTCCCATAAAGATTAACAGCTTCGGAAACCCTGTGCAGGGTCGCTATGAGTCGGAACCGACTCCATGGCACACAACAACAACAACAACAACAAAATGATCAGGTATTAACACAAAATGCCTATGTTAATAGCTTTAGGAAATACATGGTGATATTGATGAAGCAACAAATGACAATAAAAACTGAGCAGGTAGTTTTGAAAAAGAGTGGACTAACTCTGTACCCAACACCAGGGGAGGAAACATGAAGGGTCCGCCTGTTGAATGATGGCAATGTGACCCAGTTCTGGTCAATGTCATGTAAGAGGGAGGGTCCTAGAGGCTTCTGAGAAAGATTTTCCTTCCTCACTAAGGGAAAAACAGAGGAAGGAAGGAAGCTATTGAACATGTTGCTTTGTCTTTTCCCCCATTGCCTGCTTTGTACACTACTAGGTAATGGGGTCCTGGTGTGGCACTGTGGGTTAATGTGTTAGACCGCAAAGTCCTTTGAGTCACAAGGTCATCAGTTCAAGCTCACCAGTCACTCCTCGGAAACAGGGTCGCTATGGGTTGGAACTGACTTAATGCACTTAACACCACCACCAAGGAGCTCTGGTAGCGTAGTGGTTACAAATCGGGTTGTGAACTTTAAGGTCAGCAGTTCAAAACTACCAGCTGTTCCGCAGGAGAAAGATGAGGCTTTCTGCTCCCGTAAAGACTTACAGCCTCGGAAACCCTGTACAGGGCCGCTATGGGTCGGAATCGACTCAACAGCACTTAAGAGCAACAAAACCACCACCAAGGTAATCATCCTGTGACCAGAGCCTAGAGACATGCCGGCTCCGCAGCCTAACTGTTAAACTACAGGCTCTACTCTGGGTTACCTAAATGCTGGACTTCCCTCCTAAGAAAACAATTCATGTTGTTGAGCCAGAGGCTGCTTTTAGCTGGGTGTATTCTGCTACTGGGTTAGTCTTCTCTTTATTCACTGACCTCCTGTGAAATTAAAAAACACAAGCTTTTGCTAGGAAAAGTGAAGACCACAACTACATGCCTCTTTGTGGCCAGCTCTGATTATGAAAAGGAAACAAAGAAAATTCTACAGAAAGGACGTGTCTCCCTAGCCTAGACTGTTAGTATTGTTTGTTAGGTGCCACTGGGGTGTTTTTGACTCATAGCAACCCCATGTAACAGAGGAGAACTGCCCTCTAGGGTTTCGGAGGCTGTCATCTTCATGGAAGCAGGTTGTCAGCTAGTTCTCGCCTCAAGCCGCTGGGTGGGTTTCAACCTTCAGTCTTCCAATGACCAGCCAAGTGGACTCTACTTGTTTATAAAAGATCTGACTTCGATCTGACAAGGGAGCTGAATTTATCAACTAGCAATAACTCAAATGAAGGGACTTGGCTAGCCAGGGGGAGCCCTGGTAGCTTGGCAGGTTAGGCTGTTCACTGAAAGGTTGGCAGTTCAAACCCACCAGCTGCTCTGGGGGAGGAAGATGAAGCAGCTTGCTTCTGTCAAGATTACAGTTTTGGAAACCCTACGGGTCAGTACTACTCTATCCTAAAGGGTCACTCGCTGTGAGTCAGAATCACCTCTCGATGGCTGTGGCTTTGGTTTGGGTTAGGGTTAGTTGGCAATGGATGCAAAGGAAACTGGTCAGCAGCTGCTATCTGTGAGAAACGTTGTCTCTACTGATAAACGCTCAAGGAATCCAATCTGTACTCATTTTAGCGAGGGTGGGGTTTTCTCTATTTGATTTTGCAAAATTGGGCGCCCAGTCCGGTAGACACGGGCAGATGCGCTGCATGGCCATTTGACAAAGAGTTTTATTAAACTAACTTGGAAAAAGCCCCTCCTCCATTTCCCCTTTCCTGGGTACTTTGGAGTTTACAATCTTTTCTGAATGGTGCCTACTAGTCCCTACAGGGAGCATTCTCATTTAAAGTTAATTTCACCCCCTCCCCAAGAACTTCCCCTACTTCCTTGATGGGCGTATTTTTATTTTAAAGACTCTAGGAGGTCAAACTAGCCTCATCCTCTTCTCATAGTTTCCTTTTGTCATGCCAACCTGATTCCCCCCAGATATCCTTGATTCTGAAGATGGACCACCCCAACAGCTATTTCTCACAGATCCCTCCATACCCTTACGGAGGATGTCTACTAAATGAACAGACAACATCGCTGGTTGTCAGACTATTTCTGTAACACCTGTCTTTAAGTCTCCGGATTTAACCAGTTATCTCTGGTGGTGGTGGTGATGTGCCATGGAGTCAGTTCCGACTCAGAGCAACCCTGTACAGGGTTTCGAAGGTTGTAAAATCTTTATGGGAGCAGAAACCCTCATCTTTCTCCCGCGGAACAGCTGATAAGTTTCGAACTGCTGACCTTGAGGTTCACAGCCCGATACGTAACCACTACGCTACCAGAGCTATCTCTAGACTGTGATAAACTCAAAAGCTTAGGGATCTCCTTTGTGAAATTTGGAGGGGAAAAAAGAATCTGGTTTTGTAGGACAGGGTGCTACCAATCATGTCTTCCAACTAACCTGGAGGGACATCAACAATGCCCAGCCATACCTGACATGTTTCCCATTTTTGTTGGTTCGTCTAACCAAATCCATTCTCTACGTAGAAACAGAACATGACGAATCTAATACAGATTCGAGAAGAAACTCGAGACTCCATCAGAAGTTTACTTTTAAAACCTTTAGAGTGGGAGACTGAGGCATAGGTGTCTCGAGACTTTAAGATGGAGGCCTGAGGTAGCCATTCCATCTTGCGAGCTTGAGAAGTGAAGGCTAATAAACATTAGGAGTCCCTGGACCGTGAAAACACGCTCAGCTGCAAGAGTGCCTCAGAGAAAGAAGAGGCCTGCCAATCAGCTTCCAAAGAAGCCACTATTGACACCCCTACGGAGCACACACATGGGGCAGGGGGAACCACGAGTCAGAATGGACTCCTGAGTCAGATGGCAACTGGTTAATCACATACCAGAAATAACTACAAAAACAAAACCGTAGTCCATCTTTGTCATGATGGAGTACCATTTTTATTTAAATCTGGTTGCCAGGAGAATTCATATCACCCTGAGGAGAAAAACAAAGTTGTTCATCCGGTGTCATTAGCCATCAGATGCAAATCAAACCACAATGAGAGACCACTCCACGCCTGCTAGGGTGGCTAAGACAAAACAAGCAGAAAATACCATGTGGTGAGGAGCTGAGGAAATTAGAACCCTCGTGCTTTGCTGGTAGGAATGCAAAATGCTCCAGCTGCTGAGGAAAACAGTGGGGAGGTGCCTGAAAAAAAGACCTCAACACAGAAGTACAATGTTGTTCTTAAGTGCCATCAAGTCAGTTCTGATTCATAGTGGCCCTATATAGGGTTTTCAAGGAGTGCCTGCTGGGTTTGAACCACCGACCCTGTGGTTAGCAGTCCAGTGCTTACCCTACAGTGACACACCAGGGTTCCAGAGCTGCCATGTTGTTGTTAAGTGCTGTTGAGTCAGTTCTGACTCACAGCAACCATGCATAGGGTTTCCGAGGAGCAGCTAGGTGGGGTTGAACCACCAACCATGGGGTTGAACCACCAACCACACCAATCACACCAGAACTACCATTGTTATTGTTGTTGTTAAATGCTTTTGAATCAGTTCTGACTCATAGCAACCCTGTATAGGGTTTCCAAGGGGCAGCTGGTGAATTTGAACCACTGACCTTGCAGTCTAGAGCATTAGCATAGCCTACAGCACCACAGCAAGACTCCAGAACCACCCTGTGACCAACTCCCATAGGATCCAGCAATTCTGCTCCTAGGTACACACCCAAAAGGCTTGAAAACAGAGACTCAGGGAGGGCCTTGTAACCCATGTCCACTGCAGTACCATTCACAGTAACCCAAGGTGGGTACAACCTCCACAGGTGAATGGATAACCAAAATGTGGTGCGTACAGACAATGGCGTAATCCTCAGCCAGTAGGAGAAACAAAGTTCTGACATGTCTACAATACGTATAGAGCGGAGTAAGTTATTCACTCACAAAAGGACAGATACTGTATGAGACCACAATTGTAAAAAGTCAAGAAAGCGTTTTCACACTAAGAGAAACATTCTTTGGTGGGTACCAGGGGTGGGAAGGCAGACATCTCAGGGAAGGTTACTGGCTCGAGTGCAGACATGTTAACTTGGGCGAAGGGAAAGGCAGCAATAAGTGAGAGGTTGGCCAAAAGTAGGTAGCAGCAGGGGACGCTACTGG